AGCAACTGGAAAACATCAACAACATTTATTCATCTAAATTCTGCAATCCCACGGTTTTGAATTGTTAATCCCATCTCGAAAATCAGTAGGTGCATTACAAATGGTACGTCCCTTATTAAGATATAGATCCATGGGAGATGATCACCGACTGGTAAAGTGTAACGATCACTAGGCTATCACCTTAATCGTAAACAAATTGTGATTTTTATGAATTATATAATTTCACTTTTATTCACTTTTAAAATCTTTGTACATATTTTTAAACTAATTTTTAATTTTCTTAAAAAATTTTTTATCGTGTAGTCGTAATTACACAGGGCCGCTTTTGATACCAGCCAATGGCTGACAGGCCGCTAACCTGCCTAAATAAAGTTGACTTCACTTGACTCGATCATTTGACAGGATCGGGGAAAATGTTTAACTTAGGTTAAATCAAAATAAACGTTTTTATTCGATTATTAATGAAAGGCAGGCACTTTCCCTACCGAATTTCGGTTCTATAAAACAACGTTCTTTCGAATTCCGCACCATTCAATTTATGAGGAATCCTCGTGTTCCCTATTATGCAGCACTTTTTGTATTAGGATTTTCTTCGTTTTTTTAATGTATTGTTTTGATTGTTTGTGTAATTGAATTGAGTAAATAATAAAAAAAACTTAAATAGTAAACCACCATATGCCGTGTCCCGTTCGGAATATTATTTACCGTAGCATTTTGCTTCCCTCTTTCTCTAAAATTCCGAATCTCTGTTTTCTGAACGAAGAGTCCGACTTCCACTCGGATGAATATTAACTTACCCTACTCCACGGTAGAACCATATGTATTCATTTTCAGTTTTTCGCTTCTGGAATCGAATGCAAGTTTTCCTTTCGAATTCGTTCATAGCTAGCCAGATTGCAAATAACGCCTTCATGTCATGGGCTGCAGATTGAAAATATAACTGTGTGTTTATTAAATAAATACAATTTTCAGCTCTCCCAAACACTGCTCTTCAGATCAACAATTCCCCCGTACAAGAGCAAATATGAAATTAAAATGAAAGGGATCGATAGGATGTCGGGTGATGCTGCATGTGCTAATGGCATAAATATTTTGTGAATATCTAAGTAAGCATTATTCTATGTGTGTCAATATCCACTGAAAACACCGTGAAGCGCCTCTAGTACCTCCACTCGCCAGAGGCTTCTTTTGAGCCACTAAATCTACATCTACATTTTATTACCATGACGTCGTTAAAAATCGATTAGACATTACACCACCTACACCACTAACACTAGGAAGAAGTGGTGTGGACTACGTAGAAATCGTTTGAAAGGGAAAAGGCAATTGTTATCGTCTCCTCCCCAATCGTTTTATAATTGCGCCCTTTCCCTTGTCCTTCTAACGCCTGACGCGCAGGCGCAGTGTAAACGATGAGAAGGAAAAGGAGGGGAAACGAAGTCCTGCCTTTTCCCCTTCCCACCGTACCCTGCACGCTCGATTATTAAGTTTCTTAAATTTGCTTGCCAAGAGAAGGTATTGAGACGCTAGGGTATCACGTGACCTTTTCAGGAACAAGTACATGTATGAAAGTAAAGAAGTTAAAAAAAAAAAAAACCAACGAACGAACGAACGAAAGGATCTCTTGAGATAGTAGCAAAAACTGAAAGGGAACAAAACACTCACCAAGGTGAGGCGCAAAGTATGCTGGTCTGTTGGAATGTTTGTAATTTAAGGCTATACCAGATAGCTTTGCGCCGCCATGAAAATCATACCGGATGGGACTTCTGTTCACCATGGATAATAGGAATTTAGAATATATGCGTGCTGAATGTCGTATAAGAGAATGCGAAGGACGAATTGTCTCTAGCAAAATAGTTGATATAAAATATAAAAGCGTACTAAGCTCGCTCACCGAGAGAGGTATCAATATCGTATGTGACAATCCCTCCAGGCCAAAGTTTTGTAGCCTTGAAAATCTTTTGTCCCCCAGATCCAGCAAGAAGTTCAAGCTTCTGGTCTAAAGTTAGTTTCATGTCACCCTCGATAAGATCTTTGTCTCCAGTCAAAAGATTTTCTGTAAAACAAAATCATCAACAGATATGGATCACGCCTCTAATTTAATCTAATTTCATCCTTTTCGTCTTAGATGTTTTCATGTGGTAAATGTTACAATAAAAAAAGAAGAATCTTACAAATAAATATAGGGTCAATGTTTAAAGCAGCCATTTTTTTATGGTTTAGAAGCAACACATACGAGAGAAAAAATTATTTGTTGTTGGTGTTTGATAACAGAGACAGTGAACTATACCTTCAACGGAGCTCAACACCAACACAATAAAACAGCTGAGATACAGGAACACCAATCTCCAAGATCGAAACAGGAATACTTCGTTTTCCATTTTGCCAGCAGTAGCTTCTAATACTTCACTAAACTACTACAAAAATGTATACACCTATTTCAGTTAAGGTTGCTTCAGAGAAGAATGATGCATGATCCATGTTTCATAGCCCGCGGTGCATTATTATAGTAAGTCTAGTAAATTATGTGCCTGCAACGAGCCTAGAAACCTAGAAAGCAAACGCTGCTGACGCTTCTATGCTATGTCAGCAGAACGTTATATTTTAAGACAATGTATTTCAAAACACTGAATCCTAGGCTTTTTAATTTAAGACAGTGATTTGAGGTTAGGTTTTTCTCTGTGGTAATATGCAAATGCTGCAAGTTTTCAACGAGTTTTCTTGGCTCCGTGCACGTGGGAATTTTGGATGGAGTTTAAAAAAAAATCAAATAAAGTTCAAGGCGTTTGTTGAACAGCAATAAATAACTTAACATTACGTGTTTATCTATTTTTAAGGAATTTTTTTAAAAAACTGAATAAAAAAAGAATAGCGTTGATTTGATTTATTGAAATAAACAGCATTCTGGCCCATGCAAAAAACGCAGCTTAATCAGGCGGGCCTATTCAATCATTTAATGTTGTTAAAAGAAATAATTAGTAATAAGTAATTTTTTACTATGAGATTTTAAAAATGAAAATTTTCAGCTCGCTCATGCTTAAGAATTTTAGCAGCCATTGGACTTGAAAGCTCTCTTGAACGCCTTTTTACAAACGGTCTCCATTATTTCGATGAACGTGAACAAGATTAAACTTCCCACTACAAAAGGGTTTACCATAGTGCACTGCAGGCTATGAAACATGGTTCACGGGAGCAACCTTAATTGAAATAGCTGTATATAGGTAAAGACATATTAGATTTTTGTCTCAGTAACTCACAGACCTTCCCCGACTCAAACCCAAGTAAAAAAGCTCTTGATGGTCGTCGCCTTTTTTCAGTCTACCGCAAAATTCGCTTTTGGATCCTTTCTTGTGTGGGAGAGACTTTTCTAGAACCAATTGCAATTGTATCACATCCGCCTCAAAAATCGCTAAGAATAAGGCCCCTTGATGGAAATGAGGTTTGTTTCTCGGAGCAAGGAACATCTTAACATTTGAAACGTGTGTGTGTAGAACGTACACGAGTAGAACGTGTAGAAGAATAGATCTACACACTGTTTACCAGATAGCATTACAAAAAACAATTTTTGCGACCGTTCATTAGAATGAAGGCGAATCAAACAAGTCCAAAGATATCGCTTCACTACATCGACCACGAAGCTCCCGGCCCGCTTTCTTGTATTCGCGAAAAAAAGGATTCCCCTCGGACGTATTTCGTTTTTTCAATTTGACAGCTTATAATCAGCGAATTCCAGCTTCATAAGTTTCATGGGGAAAGGATAAACATTCCATCTACGCATATCGTATACCAGCAAACTAAAATGAAGCCTGAAGTGAATTGACTTACATTTGACGGTCCACCATCAAGTGGCTTTGCTTCAAATATAAAACGCTAATCAACCCATTAATGGACCTCTAGCATTCACATACGGTTTAGAGTTGTAGCAGAAATTAAGGTAAAAGCGTAAATGACTGGATAACCCTAACAAACTTCGTCGATATTGCCTCCTTCAAAACAATTTAAACTTACCTACTGTAGGACTTACTAACCAATGGACCAAGGATCAAAATTGACTACAAATTTTTGTACGAGCCCTAATGATACGGTTAATTCTAAATAATGTACTTTGTGTGATGATGTAACTTTATCAGGAATTCATTGTTATCTAACGAGCAGCTATTGTTCAGCTTTCGTATCTTCTGTGCCCTTGACGAAGAAACACCCAATGGGGCCAGTTTTACAAATTTCAGCATCGGACTTTACCACCTAAGAGCGTCTAACGTTCAAACATTTTATCGCTAGACGTTTAATAGAACACCTACGCCCAGCGTTACTTGGTTTATTGCAATTGGATCCTCAGAATTGATCGGGCGAGCACACCAATTTTTGCAAACTATTCTGAAAGTATGAGGGACAAAACCCAGCTTTTGTCCGAGCTTTAGACAGGAGTCAAGTTAAGCAACAAATGAAAATGGTCCAAAAGCTTTCCTTGCTAGGTTTTGACTTCCCTGAAATTCAGTGATTTCTAGCGCAAACTAACACTTTGATTATTGGATTGGCAGTTTTCCTGAAGTGAAGCCTTTTGATTTGTTTAAAATTTAATTTATTTTCTCTTTGTTTTAACGACAGACTTTTCAAGGTTCAAAAAAGAATTCCACTTCAAAAATTCCTTTAAAATGGGGTGTGCAAGAAAAAGGTTAAGGTCTTTGAAGTTCTACACTTCCACCATTGCAACCAGCTTTGTTGCGACTGCGTCTAACCTATTTAATAATAATTTCCCAAGGGAGGGTGGGGAAGGAGGATTCCCGTGGTACAGATTGGTTCCTCTGTAAAGATTTCCGCCTATAGTGTTTAATTCAAACAGATAGATGTGATTTGATTCAACCAGTGGCCTGTTCGATTTGGAGACTGTTGAAGTTAACATGTACTGCCTGTTTAATTTATTCATCTACTTTTATTTGGCACTTTAAATATGTTTGCATTTACATACAGAAAAGGAACGCTCTTAGCATTCACATTAAAATAGAGGCAGCCGCTAGGCGGAAATGTGAAAAATTAAATGCTGAGACCATGAAATACAAAACTGGCCACTTGACCGCAAAACGTGGCTACAGCAAGGCGCGGAAAATCGATACAATATCGCACACAAACGCAAGGTCAACCAGCTGCAATGAAAGCCAAGCGCAACGATTTTTCCGTTTTTCTCCGCGTTTTTATCCAAAAAAGACAACAACATGATCACGGTCGCTTTTCAGTTGTTAGGTCTGCATTAAAGCACTCAATGTTGGATGGAAAATTTGTTGCAGCCATGTGCGAATTGTTGCGCGCATACTTCCAAAAGTACAATGTTTTGTCGCATCGTAGATTAGGTGCCAGGTTTTCAAAAGATGCGAGAAAAGTTGCTGTGCTGTTGCATCACATGACCTTGCCTTATTATAGAAAAAGGTAACCTGTGCCAGGCTCTTGGACGGCAAAGGCGAGTAGACGAAAAAAGCGGACGAGCAGCGATTACGCGAGCGAGCGAAAAACGACATGTTTGTTTGACTGTGCGTGCACGAAGCTAACTGATTGACGTAGATGTTGACGGAAACTGTCAAAATTGACCAGGTATAGGGTATATCAGGAGCTGGTATACCGGAATGAGGTATAGAAAACAATGCTAGCAGACTCCACTTCCGCGACTCTCACCGGCTCCCACGCGGTTTTCGCGCAAATTTTCTCTATCCGCTTTCCCTTCTATTTTGTAGCCTGGCACAGGCTAAAAAAGGAGGAAAAAGACCAGAAGTAAGGATGTAAAACATTTCAATTAGAGACCTTTAGATTTAAGACGAGGACGACTACTAGATTTTCTCAATACTAAGTAGTGAGTGCGCGTGAACCAATGCGATTTTGGTGGAAAATGTGATGGCCGTCTTCCTGCTACCACGAGTTAAGCAAGAATGTTGTAGTGGCGGAAACAAGTTATCAAATGTTGGAAGTTTTATGATTTTGCTATCGGGAGAGGACTTAACCTCCTTCAATAAAGATAACAGTACTAACTTTTCTGGTAAAAAAAAAAAGTACAATGAAGCTCTACAGGGTGTCTATTTTTTTGCAGTACGCGAGAGAACATTAAATAAAATCTCGTACTCGTAGTCGTTCTCATCCTCAAATCTAAAGTTCTCTAATGGTGCCACGTTTGACAACGAGTTACTCAAACATTAGAACTCGAATCAGCAATAAGTGATAATTTCATCAGTTACTCTAAGCCAATCGTCAACTCTTATTTTCCATTTCCATTTATCCCCATGCTATCTGTAAAGAACGAAACAAGAATTGTCAAAAACGAATGCACCCACTACTGATTTTACCTTCATGTTTTTCACCAATCAACACCTTGCTCAAGCCTCTTTACGGAGGAGAGAGCGCGAACGTTTTTACTATTTAGCCCTATTCTGATCATTTCACAATGCACTGTTGAGAAAGAACTCTTTAGCGAGGCCACAGGTTGGGTTCACACACATTGGACAGCGGAGAGGAAGCTGGCGAGAGCAGTTGACTCCAGAGTCCAAATGAGACTTCACCACATCAGCCATTGCCTAAACAAGAAAAAAAGTAACAAAAAATTTAGTTATTATTGTCATGAGAGAATAGTTTCAATAGGTCAATGTTACTGCGCATGTACGAGAGTAGTTTCACGGACCACGTGCCAGTCAAGTTGTAGCTTGATGAGTGTGAGAGTCAAAGATGTACATAGCATTAATTTGTTATTGTTCCTGTTGCCCGTGTGTAACGAATAATTATCAATTATGGTTTATAGTCCCTAACATGCTCTTCTCTCACTTCTCAGCGGGTGCTTGTAGGGAGAATTTACTTATCTATCCGTTTACCTGAATAAAAGTCGGACTGTCATTCAACGAAGCAGCTCGACGTATGTTCTCGATGCCAGCCTGCAAAAGCAAAAAGTTAAGATGAACATCATAATATTACGTTTTTGCTCTCTTCTCATATAAGAGAATAGTTCTTATGGTTCCTTCAAACTTTCTGCAAAAAAATAACGCCACAATACCGCCAGAATAAAACTGTTTCTTTACCTCTTGTTCTTTTTTTGCCGGAAGAGAGGATAAGGATCTCAAAAAGAGGCTGTTGATATATCAGCTCTAATGGTCGGCTTCCTAAAACTAGGCGGATTTAACAGAGATAGTGTGGTTTAATTTTCTCCTTGGTTTAAATTTATTTACTTTTATTTTGGGATATGGTAATGTATGATGATGAGTTTGAAAAAAAAATTAAACCAAGCATAAAATTGAACCACAACAAAGACAACGCAACGACAAATGAGGACGCAAAAGAACGCGAAAGAGTTGAACGTAACTCCGCTGCTCAATTTGCCGTTTTGTCCCTGGCCTAGCCTGAGAAAACGGCCAACATTTCGCGATGCCACTACGGGTTTCCCTGTAAATTGACGTCTGAGAAACGAGCGCAGGAATTCCACACTGATGACGCGTCACTACCCAGATCTGGAAATTTCCCACGCGGCTCGATCACCCATTCTTCTCCCACTTGGGACTCCGCCACCAAACATTTTTCCCGAGCTCGCATAAGTGAGCCTGCACGCAGGCTAGAGGATTAGTGATATGTTAAGCGTTATGAAAAGCGTTCATGCGTTACATGTACGTCACTAAACACACCTCATGTGCTACTTCCTCAGCATACTCTATGTCCAACTCATGAAGTGTCTCGATATGGTCAGAGGTAAATGCAATAGGGACCAACAGAATGTTCTTTTTTCCTTTCTTTGCAAGGCCCTTTATGGCATCCTCTGTCTGAGGTCCCAACCATGGCATGGGACCAACCTAACAAAGACCCAAAATCATAACATGCTACAGTGCGATAAACACTTCACATAATGACTCCACTACCAGGCTCTACTAAACACTGCAATAAAAACACTTACCAATTACCCCACAATTATAGTTTCAAAAAATATATCAATACAACGGGTCCGTTTTTTTCATGATCAGCATTCTAAAATTAAGGGGCAAAATATTTCAATTATGAGAGAGGAAGCCTGCGCAGCAGGCGTTAAAAGGGGAGAGGGAAGGGGCGATTCGGGCGTGTGAGAGCTCGATGCAAGGGATGCACAAGGAGGGGGAATAGGCAGGGTAGAGAAGGGGGATCAATTCAAGCATACAGATCAAAATTATCAAATACGGACCAGTCAAAAAATTTTGTAAGAGCTGCAGTTCTCCTTCCTTCAAGTAAATATGGCAAGCTAAAGTTTTCCAAAACAAAAATAAATGTCCAATTGCTGAAGCACTGTTTAAAGAGAGTGTTTAATGACACTTAGATAAAGTAGGTAAGGATCAAGAGATATAATGTAAGTAAAAATGAGCAGGATTTTGTTCCATTTTGTTCCATTAACCTGATTAACAGAAGGGGCATTTGATATTACTTTGCCTGGGGTCTCTTGATCTCTGGCCCCTTCGAGAAGGGCAACCATACAGAGCTTTAGTAAATAATAAGATTATTCTGACCTTTGACTGCCATACAAGTCTGTATGGATGGGAGTGGCCCAAGGTCTCCATTACACGTTGAACAGTGGCAGCAACCTCTTGAGGATATGGATCGCCCCTCTCCACAACCTATAAAAAATGTGAGTTCTTTCTCATATGTAGACAAGGCTTAGAGAGGATGAGTGTCCAGCAAATCATATTTTTGAAAAACAAGCACTGCCTGAAAGACAATGATCTAAAGATAGGGCAAGCCATGTTTCACTGGGCAAATAATTTATCTGGGTTAAGGTGACTGATATCTAGCCTGCATGGAAAAATTTATCTAACCCCAGCTAGCAACATCTGCAAAGCAGCACCAAGATGTTTGCTCTAGAACCCTAATGCAGTGGCGGATCCAGGGAAGGGGCCCTAGGACCCTGCCTCCCCCCTTATTTTTAGACCAAACTGAGGCCCAAAGGACTGAAAAAAATTTTTTGGAGACCAGCCCTCCCCCCACCCCCTTTTTAAGGGTCTGGTCTACTGTTCATCTATAGGATGCCCAAAATGGGTGCAATTCCACAATTAGTTTCGGCTCCATTAAATCCTATACCAATAATAATTGCAGAACATTTTAGAAGGAGCCACCCACAATGTCAACACAGTCACGGACAACACAAATAAGTGAGGAAAATAACGCAAAGTAAAATTAAGACGTTATTTAACAAACTAAATGTACATGTCAATAAAATAAATAAATAATGCATGCGCACAGAATAAAACTGTGCATGCAGACGTACCAAGATACGACTGAAATACAAATCTAACTAATAAATAAGTAATGTAAGGATACAATGATGTTAAATTCAAGCCTGGATTGCTAATCTCATCTAATAATACATTCAAATAATTCATTCATGGTGATGTCTTATACATAAAAATATGAGTTAGAATACCTTCATTGGAAGAGAGTGGGCAGAGAAAAGAATCACTACGTCATTCTGGGCATCCGCAGGAAACTTTGCTAATTCAGCCTGAACATTTTCTGCAAAGGCCTACATCAGGCAAATAAATAAAAAAACAGTCCACCACTAAATTAAAAGGAGGCTAAGTGGATTGCAAAGACATTCCAACCATACAGAAACGTGTTCTCATGGACAAGCTATTTGCACCTGGCAGATTCAGTAAACAAGCTATAGCGAAGTATTTTATGACACAAATTCATTTCATAAAAATCCTAAATATGTTGATTGAATTTCCTTTGTTGCCTGTATTTCTTGGCATTTGGCTGTTAAAGAGTCTCAGCAAAGTACTAGTAACTTGTAAATACCGCGCTGGCGTGTCTAGCAATTTTGATGTTGTTGTCACTCTAATCCATATATGCGTAGCGCATTATACAAAACGCTGGAGTGGCATTGTCAAAAATGATGACATTTCCTGTAAGGGGGAGGAGGAAGAGACTAAAAAACTGGTAGAGGAGGCCCAAGAGTGTGAAGTTCGGTTTAGATGTTTAAGTTATATCATTATTCATTCAAAATATTTCCCCAATTCTGATTTGCTAAAAGCACATGCATAATTCACATTAACCAGTTACTGATGACCAAATTTGGAAGAATTTTATGTTTAATGAGGAAATGACATCAAAAATGCAGCCTGCTACAGGTTGAGGCACCCTTACCAAGAAGACCTGGGGAAGAGGTTGAGTTGTTTTGGTTGTGAAAACAAAAATGGTGGACACTTCGCTTGTTTCAAGAGTAAGAACTACAGCTGGAACTAGGCGAAAATAATAATAGCAAAGACATAACAAAAACAGCAAGAAGACAACTAGGAGGGCGACATCTGCTATTTGGAGAATATTTGAGAAGCTGGACAAACCTACACGTACACTAAAGATGAAGTTAACATTGATGCAGGTAAGTATGTTTTAGCTATGTTTTTAAACTAGGAATTACTTTGAATGAATAATAAAGCAATTAATGAATTCAGCTTTTGTAGGATATGAAGAATTAAGCAGATCTCGGAGGGTGTTTCCACATCTTCTTTCAGCCTCAGTGGTTAACACCCTGCGAGATCTGCTTAATTCTTCATATCTTACTAAGCCTCATTCATTAATTGCTAATTATCCCAAAAATGACCAGAGTCAAGCTAGTAGGGAGAAAATATCAATTTCTATTAAACTTAGTAATGGACTGATTAGGTTTTAAATGTTTGTTGGAAACTGCCATGAAAAACGGATGGAGCAGAAAACTTTCAATTGTGAACCTCATCCCAGAATCATATTGACAACCTTCCGAGAGGAATTGGAGGGGATTTATATATCCAGTTATAAACAAACACATATTGATACTTATTTACCTGAACTAAGCCTGGATGTGTTGGCCATCTGTCAATCACACTCCATTTAATGGATGGCACAGCTCCTTTCTGCTGGTAATGTCTGTAGATTGCATTTAAACTGCTTCCAGTAGTGGAACAAGAGTATTGTGGATACTGAGTGAATGCTACTGCCCTTTCTATTCCATCCCTACAGAATTACGATTAACACAGCATGAACGAAACAGTAACACTTGCATTCAACTTTTGTGGCCTGGATTTACTGATAAAATACAAAACACTGTATTCTTATTTTTTTGTTCGTAACATTTAGGATTTTTATGGCTGCTATAACAACTCTTACATTGAATCTTATATAACTAGTCACCTACCTTTCCATCTCATCAACAGTGTCCTCTGTCAGGGGATGCACATAACGAAATCCAATGTAAAACTTGTGTGGTGCTATAAATTAATTTTCAATAAAAATTCATTATACTTTTATTTTACAATACATAATAACCAGGTGGAATCTGGGTGATTGTAGTCCTGAATAGGACTGTTGCTGACAGTTTCTGAAGTTTTGACAACCTCAAGTATAGCAGGGCTCGAAATTGCAACTGATGCGGTCACCAACATGACTAACATTTTCTCCTTGGCAACTAAAAATTCTGGTTTAGTTGCCACTTTGGTGACCAGATTTCTCTATGATTTACATTTAGGTAAAATAATTAAGAGAGTAATGTTAAAACAAACATTATTTTCATCTTTTTTTTTATTTAACACTTTTATAATGGAAATGCAAAGCACCCTTTAGGAAGTAGGGCAGACTCCTTATATTTTTGTTGTATCATGTTTTAATTTGCAATTTTGCAATTAGTAGTCAAATTTGTAAAACATTTTTAGGTGTAAATAGTTGTAAATGCTGTAACATCGGATTCTGCGTTTTTCTCTTGTTATATTAATGTAAATGTAAGTATTGTCATTCAAGTGTTGTAACATTTCATCTTATCTTGCTTTGCTTTCGTCATAAAAATTGTGCCAAATCGCACCAACAAAGCCACTATACCTCCAAATTTATACCGACTTCAATCCGCGATATTTTCAAACAATCAAATCTGATAGGATTGCACCATACTATGAGCTGTGTCATTTACATTATACAAACTGCATAGTCATCTTCAGAGTCAGAGTGGGTTGTACCATGTCAGTGATGGTTATTGACCTGATTGGTCAATTAAATAGAGATGTAATTGATCTGTAAGTCAAGCCATGATGAAATGACCTTTCACTGTTTATAATTATTGGCACAATAATATTATACCATGAGGTAGAATGAAAGAAAGGTTTACCAGTTTCAGGGCACATCTCATCCAGCAGTTTGACCATCCCTTCACCCTGTTTCTCAGTCCACATTTTGATGGGAGAACCTCCACCAATTTTCTCATATTGTTTCTGTATTTTAGGAGTTCTTCTTCTTGCAATCCAGGCAGCCATTTTACTGTGATCCATTAATTTAAGAAAAAATTTAAGCAAAAGGACAATTAGGTAAATCATCCATTAAAAGCTACAGGCATCAAATATTATTATTAATACATGTTTAGCAACTTGAAAAAAATTGTGTTTATTTCATGAGAAGAAATTGCATTTAAATTAACCTTTTGCTGCATGTTAATAACTTGCACTATCCATTTGCATTGTCAAACGCTGGGAAAAAATGTATGGACTACTGTTTTGTTCCTGAGTGCAATCTTGCACAGGAATAGCCTCATGTGGATTAGGCTTCACAGTGGGGCTGGCAAAAAAGGCAAAAAACTGGATGAGACAGCAGAAAACTCCTTTGTTCAAGACATTTCAATGACAAGTTAATTGCTGGTGCCAGCAGATTGGTGGCATCAAAGGCATGTCTACAGGCTCTGCCACCATTCCCCCTCTCCAGACTACGACTCAACATGCTTTGCTTGCCAATTTTGCGATGTGAAGTAAACGACTTTCTCCTCTCCATATGATTAACATTCTCCTCAAAAGTGTTCTTATTTGAGGGAGAGAAATGAGTCATCATATAGTATATGTAAGCTTGTTTATTGTAGTCTACAGACCTTTGAGCTGGTAACACCATGAGGTCTCGATCAGAAAAGAGTCGCAATAGGAAATCATGTACATCATCTGTTGTTTCGGGGCCACCCATGTTCAATAGCATTACGCCAGTCTTTGGCTTTGAACCGACTTGCACTGTACTGAAGAAAAAAAACACAAAAAAATGAATAAATACTACTTATCTGTTCCTTTGTTGTCATGAAGACAAAACTTTGCGTAGAACCTCAGCAAAGAAAAACCAAGTTGCATGGATATTGTTCTTTCCATCTGCATCTGGAGTTACGTAACTTGAAACCACTTGACTTTGTTGAGTATCTCGATCGATCGAGAAGCTCACTTTCTTAGACCTTCTGGGCCGGCAAAGGGAAGATACACACGGAAAATACAAAACACACATAGAATGTATAAAACGTGAATGTTTACCTATCAATTTTTGGTTGGGAAACTCCACTCGCTGAACTGGCAGAGGACGTTTTGAGACAGAACACTCGTGAAAGACATGGTAGATAATTTTTGAGAAGTTGCCTCGATTGTGATGGTAGAATACCTGGAAAAAACAACAAAATGCACTTAGAGCCGAGGAAACTGTTCATGAAACATATCATTTAAAACTTACTGTGATTTGTCTGTACTTTACGACAAAATCTTAAGGCCATTTTGAGGAACAATACAAGGGTGCAATATTGATCAGTTGTAGAAAATCTGTCAGGCGTTCCCTCAGCTCACGAAATCAGAGAAAGAAACTGGTACCGGCTCCTTATATCGCGTTACATTTAACGTTACATACGCGCGCTCTCTCAACCGTGGAATGTACTCTCAGCTTCGTGTAAACCATTTGTAAACCATGAACCAACAACGATTCATTGTCATGACCACGCGTCGATTTCAAAGACCTGTCGTTATTTTGTTGCTCACGATATCCTCAAATGGAGAACGTGCTCGCAGGCAATCGCCTCATGGCCTCAAGGCCGCTTGAACCAAAGTCACGCAATACTACTTGCGTGACTTCAGCCAGGAGAAATTGCGACAACGTGGCTGCGCAAGCGGCTACGTTTTCACGGTCGGTGTCGTCACTTGTTTCCATCCGCCAAACTGACATTTTCCTCTCAGTGGCTCTCACAAGAAATTTCACTTTTCTTACATGAGGTTTCTCTGTCTCTTGAAATTTCTGTTCATTAAAGTCCTCAAAGAAAATTCTTTCCACTTCAATGGATTTCCCATGGTACTGCAATGGGCACAAAGACAGCAGTTTCTTTTGCCAATATTTTTATGGCACACATTGAAACAACAATTCTAAGCAGAACCGTTTTTAAACCTACAGTTTGGAAACGCTACATTGACGATATCTTTTCCCTATGAGATGGGGACATAAGTAAACCAGACATCGAAGACTTTATCGAACAAGATCGCACTGACACTGAGACTGTGTTTTTAGACACGGTTGTATACAAAGGCACAAGATTCAAGGAAAAATCTATCCTTGATGTAAAGACACATTTTAAAAAACGGAAACCTTCCAGTACACACATTTCACCTCTTGTCACCCGCCGACTGCATGTTAAAAAAGGATTTGTCAAAGGAGAAGCCTTGAGAATCCTACGAACAAACTCCTCAAGAAAAATCCCGGGCAGAAATCAGAGACAGCCAGCGGTCAATTTTCGGGCCCATGCCTGGTTTCCATTTCTTTCAAAATACTGGCACAGAAATGACGTTTGAGGATAATATTTCAAATTTCAAAAAACGCCTGATTGACAGAGGCTACCCACAAACTATGATAGAAAACCTTCTATCAGATATAAATGACAGAGAGGGAGTCTGCTCTCCTGAAACAAAACAACAAAGAGGAAAAAGAAATATTGCCTTTCGTGACACAGTACCAGCCCTCAGTGTCTTCTTTAAAAGAAGTTTTAATGAAAAAATGGAATCTTATACAAAACCAACCGTTACTTCGCCAAATTTTTAAAGAATTGAACCATCTATCATTTCCTACAAGAAAGGAAAATCCCTAAAGGACATGCTCGTCAGAGCTAAAATATAAAAGGTTAACACAAGGTTTCACGCCGGTATAGATGTGCGGCCTGTCACCCCTTGCATTTTCTCAGGCAAAACCCCCGTGCATGTGGAGAATGATATTAAAAGC